TAATATATTATAATATATTATTTATTATATATATATATATATATATATATATATATTTTTTTAAAAATATATTTAGAAAAGTAGCGAAAAATGATCTTGCCATAAGAAGAATTAGATGCAGTTAAGCAAAATGGATCTCGAACTTCGTGTCGCTTATTCGCTTCTCGTTCGCTTCTAAGAAAAATCTAATTCAAATAAATGTCCACTCTTTCCTTAAACGGTGTTCTTAAACAGGAATGCAGCTTAATCTACTTGTCGGCGAAATCGTTATTCGTTATTGTGCTTCCTTCGTCATTTGGTATTTTCAGTGTTCACACTCATTCGGCAGTTTATGTCTAATCCTCAGTCAGCGTCATTCTCTCAGCTGTTTTTGTACGTGTCATCTCTGAAATTGACCCGCGTCAGGCGGGTCAGCGTGCCGTTCTCGGCGACGTAAATCTTCCCAGATTAGCCTGAGTGCAATTCTTACAGCCTGCAAGGAAGACCAATTCGAATGCGCGCCTGGTTATTGCGTGCCCTTATCACGACGCTGTGACGGATACACGGACTGTGTCGGTGGAAGGGACGAACAAAATTGTTACAACATGAGTACGAATTATATCACTATTTACTCCAATAAGCTGCGAAACGGGGCACTCGCTCGAAACATGCAAATCAACTTGTTACTCGCGTTGGAATAACTTAGTCACGCATTTGCGTATAAAATAGCCTTTGCGTTTATCTAAGGAACTCGCTTAACTCGGTCAATTATCTTAAGAGACTCTATTACAAGAAATTTCACGGCAAACATCTGTTTTTTTAATGGCGAATATTAACTATGTTATGCAAATGTATTATATTAGCCGTATGACATTCCACTGCATTATAAATAAACGCGATCACCGCGAAATTCCAACGTCGATAGTTACGGGGACACGAGGCGGTTGACGAGTGTAAAAACGTGTATTTTTTTTTGGTTATTTTCGTAAAATTTTGTAATAGAAAAAATTGCATTCGATCGAATTTCGAGGAGCATCAGTCTCGTGTTCCCGCATTGCATGATTCCCGTGTCGCTCCGACAACGTTTCGCAAAACACACACACACACACACACACACACACACACACACACACACACACATCTCGACGAGAGAGGTAGGTACGAATTCTATTGCATCTTTTGGGTATGGTGGAAGGATTTACGCAGTACACGCGAATTTTCTTGCGTGAACGATGCCTGTGCAGCATGAGATTTGAGCTCTGGCATTTTTAACTCATTAGGACGTAGCGCATGATAATTTACGCACGACGCTGGTTATATCATAAAGTTATGCAGAAACTCGGGAACAGGCATTCGCACTTGCAATAACGCGACGGCGATTCTTGCGCTTAATTATTCATGGATATGTGGTGCCACATATGCGGCCGCGAATTCGCTCTACGAAACAGTCGTAAGCGCAAACAGTTAACATACGATACGCGAAGCAACGCGGACTGTTATCCAACTGTCGCGAATAAATTAAATCTCAGCGACGGGATATTCTCGCCGGGAAAAAAACTCGCACATTTTCCGACGTTCTGTAACATTTGTTTCTTTTTCGCGACTGGACCGATATCTGGAAATGCGAACCCATCGATTGAAAGATAAACCGTAAAATCAAGAATTTATTTGCAAAAAAAAAGAATGGTGAACGCAAATAGCTCCCGGATTAACATAAATAGCGTATATTAAGTGCGCATATTACGAAACTGTTATATTTAGGCCGATATGAAGTCTCAGTTGAGCTTAGTCGATTCTTTTTTTATTTATAGAAAGGCACATTTTCAGATTTCACGTTCATCGCGATGAACGATCGACACGTTATGTATCAAGCATACGAGTAACGTGACACTGTGGCCTATATTTACTATAGGTCAAGTGGATTTCTGCAAATAGTTGCCATTTTTAATTAACTAAAGTGGGCCATCGAATATTTTCGAACGTGGCACGTATCCAATTGATTATTGATATCGCGCAAATTGAATACGCTTCAGTAACTGGTTCAAATTGCGACAATAATCAATAAAAACTCGAGTCGATAGCTCTTCTGTTACTTTGTCAGACAGAGAATAAAAACTTTTACTAAATCAGAGTATCACTGTGTGAAAGTGCTATCGTATCATCAGGGTATTTGTTGCGCGTAGTTTTTTTTTTATCGGTTTATCCACCTCCCCATCTCTCTCTCCGCCTCTCTTATTTTATTTATACTATTATTTTTATTTTTTTTTTTTTATTCTTTTTTTTAAATTAGTCTACGTATGTCGAGCGGACGAGTTCGAGTGCGCCAGCGGTTCGTGTGTCAGCGGAAATGCAAGATGTGATGGACGAAACGATTGTCTCGATCATTCTGACGAGTATAATTGCAACGGTGTGTTTGTTAATATTATTTTATTTCTTTGCGTTATCAATATTCGTAAATTAAGTTTTCGATATATTTTGCACATAATTTGAAAAAAAAAAAAAAATATACGTTTAAGTTACAAACAATTGTTTTTTTTTTTTAATTTATTAAATTTAATTTGTTAGAATTATAAATCAAAAGTTCTCAACTAACGAAAAAGAGTTAAATTATTGTTGCTCAGTTTTCAGAATACTTTATACGTATAAATGTCACGTTGTATAAATGATAAAAAATTGTTTATATTATATAAACTTTCTATCCGTTTTGTATTATCGTTTCCAGTGACTACCTGTAGTGGGGAGCAATTCCGTTGTCTCGACGGTACCTGCTTAAGTATCGACAAGCGTTGCAACGGAATCGCCGATTGTCGCAACGGTGAAGACGAGAGCCAATGCGGTAAGCTAACTTATTTCTCTCTCCTTTTCAATTGATTTTTTTTTTTCTTTACATTTTGAGAGCACGAACGGAACAGGAGATTCTTGCTAACGATGCGGAAGGAGTCCGACCTGTTCGATTCCGTTGTCTCCAACTTCGCTCGTCGGCAACGTAAATCCTTACGTTGCGACATGTTCATAACTACTCGTGAGGTCAATAATCACTTTTGCACGCGCAACGATAACTCCGGCGCAACGGTTCCAGCAATAAGCCGCGATAAGCTTGCACCGATGCTCTTTGCTAAGTGTCGGTTACCCGACGCGATTATTCACGAGCGATCGAAAGGGGCGCCTGAGCTTAAACGAGCCTCAAACGCGCCTGCGAAGTTTAACAACAAGATTGCAGGCACTTTGATAAGTCTCGCGAGTAAACCTAGCAGTGATCTCATTCGAACACGTGCTTAACGTCGTAGAAATAATGTTGCGCAAGGATTGCCATCCATGTATACGCATGCATATGTATATATGCGCGCGCGCGCGCGTGTGTGTGTGTGTATGTATATATGTGTATATATGGTTCGCAATTTCTTTCCGAATTTCAGGAATTATTTTTTTTTTAATGTTCCTTCGCGAATGAAAAATTTTTCTCTTTGCGAGGCTGTAAATATAATGCGCCCGTATATAATTATATAATTAGGCGAGCGATCCGAAGGCCCCCGACGTTGGAATACACCGTTGCGCGTTGTAACGTGAATAACGTAAACCTAATTTTCTCCGGCACGCTCCGCGTGACTTTCGATTTACGATTTTCCACGCTGACCGAACTTTACGCCCGGCGCGCAACGCGCCACGAAAATAACGCCTTTTCCCGAAATAGTTTAGCCAATGTCGTTGCACCATACTTCACCTAATCCCGGTTTCGGTCCCGGTTGCGATCCAAATCGGGACGCGCCGCCGCACGATCGGTCGTGTGTGAAGAAAGCGACGAAACTTTCAGGCATTCCGAAATGTTAATGTACTCGGACCATTGCATCACGAGGGGTTTCCTACTTCCTAAACGAGCTTACTTTAATTAATCGATTTTCGAAAACGAATCCTCTCCCTTCCCCCCCCCACCCTCGCAGCCGGCGCGCCAAGTGGAGCCAAGGAGCATCGATCCGCCGAAGACGATCGAAGATAAATTAATCGCGTTAAATAATCCAACGGCGCTCATATCACGTCGCCGCCGATTTGATTTATCTTCCGATTGGGAATGCAGATTGCTGCCCTTTGCTCTCGTAAATTCCCCATATACTTCCCTCGTTTCATTACTAACCTCAGCAAAAGCGGCACAGCACTCGAAGCATCTCACATCAAGGTAAAGGTGCGAAACGCCCGGTTTCTACCGTCCAGATGATGTACTATGCAAATCGTAGTCTGACCTCCACGGCGTATGTCACTTGAACCGCGTGTCATAAATATGCTCCGGTCGCTCGCTCGAAATTATTTATCGTCGCGCCCAGTTTGTTTTCTCGCACGTGAACTCTGGACGGCAGATTCGGGCGTCGAAGGGCTTGCTTGGAGCCGCGATCTCTCGCGGCTCGCCGGAGGATCCCCCCCCCCTCCGCGAGCGATCTCCCTTTGGGGATGGGAACATCCCGGAGGCCGGGGGGTTGACGCGCGTCAGCGGGCAATGCATCTTTAAATGCGCATGAGTGTGGTGTATGGAGCAGGTTGCAGAGACACCGAGTTTCGCTGCACGGACGGCCGCTGCATCAACTACGAGTTGCAATGCAACGGGATGAACGAGTGCGCCGATGGCTCTGATGAGAGGGACTGCGGTAATTATGCCATTCCACACTTACCCACTTCTTTCACACGGTACAGAGGTACACGTACTTACGTACACATTCGCTCGCGTGCACGAGACCGATCATTCGATATGTCATTCATTCACTCGTCTCAAGTTGCTTTCTTCGACATCTTGCTTTCGTAGCACTGGTCACATTTACACAGATTTTTTTTCATTTGGATTTAGAGTCGGTTGAGATTGAGACGCCTTGAGAGAGAAAAAGAATCCGCTCGCGCATTTCCGATGGTTGATTAGCTTTTTAATAGACGTAAAGTTTTTTCTTTTTTTTTTTTTTTTTTTTTTTTTTTTTTTTATTTATATATATATATAGCTAAGAAGATTGTAGAAAGTTTCACAACAAAGTCCAGTTTTATTGTAGCTTAAAATGCAGCGAGATAATAGGAGATCCGATAGTAAAACCGACAAAATTCGACCAGCTCGTCCTCTATCGATCGCCGCTGACTTTCAAATACAGCTCCCAAGCATTCCGCGTAATATTTTCGCCATTACATTCACCTTTTTCCGTCACAATCCCTCTTTAATCGTACTTATCGCGAAATCATGCGCCGCCCGTGGAGAAGAAGTACCTGTGGCGAAATTTCTATAACGTCAGAAAGTTTCGCGCGAAAGCCGTTGGCCGCGATTTCCCACGAAGAAAAACTTGCAGAACGCCGAAGGAATATGAATATGCAACCCGTGACGACCGAGAGCGCCTATCGATTCACCATCAAACCAGCCGTGACGATCGGTAATCCGATCTTGGAAGCGTTTCCGGAAGAAGCCCAACGACGAAGATTTCCAACTTTCATACTGCGGAATTTCTCGAGATACTTGACAAAAATTACCCCGAAATCGAAAGATAATAACTTGTCCTCGCAATATAAACTGCAGAACACAGAACTCGAACGATACCGTAAACCCGACCCGAAGAATTGTGGCAACAATGTCAAAATTTGCCATTTAATCGTCAACCAGATTTTGTCGCAATTAAACGATAAATCCCAAATTCCTAAACCTCTCGAGTTGTCGGATAATCTTCTAAAATCTTTGGAAATATATAAGCGTACTTTTCCATTTCATTTACAATCTGTTCATTTACAATCTGCTGATTCCGATCAAAAAATGACAGGTGAGAGCAATTCTGATTGTACTCCAAAAAAGTCTAATACATCAAATGCGATCGTGAATGTTTTATACGGTTCAAAAAATGATAAATATACCTCGACAAAGGATGTTTCCAAATCGAATAATTCGATAATCAGAAATACTTTATCGAAAACGAAAACAGATTATCAGAATAATCTCGACATTAATAATGCAAAAACAATGAATTATTTAAAAAATGGTACTTCTGAGGCTAAAAAAGATATCTATAATGAGAAAATGAGCAAAAAAAATAATCACTTATTGCCTCCAGAAAAATCAACCGATACTCAACGGAATAATAAATGGATTTGCAAACTTATTGGTGACAAATTTACCGCATGTCGTCAATATAATTCAACCAAAGTTTTAAACAAGCCAAGTAACATGACAATCTCTATAATAACTGCAGTATCAAATAATGTTGATACTAATTTAAATTTTAATGCGACAAACGTGAGTGACGGAAATAAAATTATGAAGAAAACATCAAGCAGAAAATACGGCCCCGCTTATCAAGAATATTACAACAAATATTTAAAAAATTATTCCACTTTGTCGTCCACAATAAAAACAATAGAATCTATCGACATGCGAGCCTCGACAATAAAAAGTACCTTGTTAAAAGGTGCTGATGAATATAAAATAACCGAAGCTTGGAAAACTGAAAAGGAAGATACAACAACTACTGTGAAGTCTACGTATTTCAATACATCGGTCGATAATATTTACAAGCAAAAATTACAAAATTATATTAAAACGAGGAACAACAATATGAATAGTAGAGATAACTTTTTTGGGCACAAGGTAAAAAAAGACGGTAAAGCTGCATATTATTTTAATAAATATCTAAAGCAGCATCACGTCACCAGAAGAACAATTTCTGTGGAAGATATGGATGAAATTGTGGAGTACGTTACGGCAAATATACAATACAATCAAACAATGAAAGAAGCGGCTTCATCTTTATCAAAAGAAATGTCTGCAAGACCAAAAGCAAGCAAGAATGATTATTCATCGATAAAAACGGAGAAGTTGCTGTACGAATCGAATTCACCGAAGGTAGAAATACGCCGACATTTTCAAGCAATCAACGATATCGATATAGTATCAAATCTTTCTTCAAGTAATAACTCGATCCAACAAAATTACGATCGAGATAATGAAAAGCGTAACATGAGCAAAACGCACGAGCAGTCGGGTGCTCGAACTTTCGAAACATTTAATGAAAGTAATGGAAACTCGACGCGGAACGAGGATAAGATCGATTCCGGATTGATAAATTCCGACGAGACGCCAGAATCGATAACCGCAAATGATCACACGACAGCGGAAGAGTCGCGAGAATCCAAGGAGACTCTGGAGGAAAGTTCAAGGGACGATTTCGATGTTTTGATATTGAACTTAACAACGACAACCAGGGCCCCCGAGATCGTCACGCGGGATGCAAATGAATCCAGGGAAGTGACATCTACCGAAAGTCACGGAAAACGCGAGCACAAAAGTCGTCATAATGGTCGTAAGAACAACAGACCTAAAAAGAAGAAGAAGAAGAAGAATCGCAATGCGAAGCGTAAGGGAGAATCGACCCTCGCCTGGGAAGTCGACAAGCCAACGAGCGTTGATTATGGCAACGCTTCGGAGCAGACGAAGACTACGTTCTCTCATAATGATCCAGGATACGACAAAGTTGACAATAATCGGAATACGAGCACTGGTAGAAACGACTGGAACTTCACTGATGAAATTACAACGGAATCTATTAAGGGAGAATTCTCTAACACTGACGGGTCCGTCTCGGAACACCCCACGGAAAATAATATTCACAATAGCCTTCAATCGGAAAAAACGACGGATGCGGATCTTGTCACCACATCTCAGTTATTAACAACATCCAATGGAGAAAGTTCTAAAAAATGTAAGATACGAATTACAACTACCACTGAGAATAACTGGTTCTTCAGGTGGATAAGCGATGAAAAGATAGATGAAGAATCAAACGAGTGTGAAGAAGATGTTGTTTCAACCACAAGCAATTCGATAGACGAAAAAACGAGTTATTATAGCACTTCCATCAGCGATGATTCTTCCACGTATAACAAAGTATCTACTTTAGATGGTACTACTTGGAAATCTTTCAGTAACGAAAACGATGATATAAGCAGTGAAGAAATGAACACGAGTAAAAATGAAGAAGATAACGATAGGGAAGATACGATACGTAAGCCGATCTTGGATGAAGAAAGTAATGAAGATAATGAAGCGATAGAATATTTGGAAAGTATTACACATTTTATAAGGGGAGGCGCTACGACCGACGTGAATTTAAATCTCGATAGTGAGGAAGAGGAAGAAGAATACGCAGGGCAAGAAAAATTTATATCCAGCGAAGACAACGACATTGATAACGGCCCGGTAAATGCGGACGATTACGAGAACGACCATTGTAACGAGAATCAGCATGCTTGTGATAAATACATGTGCATCGAAGAAGACCAACTCTGCGACGGCATCGTAGACTGTTTCAACGCTAATGACGAAACCGACTGCGATTATATATACACCAGGAGATTAGAAGAACATCTCAGAGTCAACAAAGAGCAAAATGAACTCAATTCTTTCTCGAACGAAGACACGTCGCTTGACGGATGCGACCTTTACGAGCATCCTTGCGACGGCAAATGCATAAACGCACTGAACGTCTGCGATGGCAAGAGAGACTGCCTGGACGGTACGGACGAGGGGAACTGCACCGAAGGTATTCTCAATATAGAAAATAATATTCTGCAAGAGAAATCTGTGGGTTTCGCTCTTCGTCTCCGCTGTAAAAAGTTTCTCGCCTTGAACGGAACGAGAACGTCACGTGGAATCTCAAGCCAGCGTGACGTCATTTTCGAGACGACCTGTCATCTTCGCTGTATAAAAACTGGCTTTAAAGATATCAGATTGGTTAATACGTGGACATTCTTGGGAAATTGCCGAGATCCTATCGGAAAAAAGGACTTGAGAATGTTACTTTTTAACTAATAGGTACTTTATTCTCTATTGTTTAAGCTATTCTTGTTTGGAACACTGCAGAAGATTCGCTTCCGCGCTTCTGAAGCGTCACGACGTATGTTGGGAACGTTATCTGTTATATGTTATGCAGCTTTGGGGAGCGAACACGTTGATGAACGTATAGTGTATCGCGAATAATAGCGATAACCTTGCGTTTAATATAAAAGTGCACGTTTATAATGTGTGTCTCTTGCTGTAAAAATATGCCTTCAGTGGAGAGAGAGAAGTGGCCGAAGGAATAACGACTACGTGAATAATTTTTAAAATACGACGTACAAAGAAGTGATTATCTTATCCATTTTGTTAGATTTATTAGAGTCGTTGAAGCTCTTTACACAATCTAAAAGAGAATTTGCAATTGATTACAAAAAAGCACTATCGATGGCATCAGTTAACAACTTAGTCATTCTGCATAATGCAGGCGTGCAGTCGGCAATTAATATTTTTAGATAGTCGCGATTAGATCGCGATTAGTAGTCGAACATCCGCAATGACAAAACGCAAATTCTCTTTTCTCGAATGTAGGGAGACCATGTCCCGTTTCATCCATTCCATCCTTTGATATCATCACCGCGTCACGCATTACTCGTTCTCTTTTTGCCCGCGAGAAATACAGAATACAAATTCACTTCTCTGTTGCAAAAAGAGGCATCTCAATGACACCCTTAAAGAATCACTTCCGGTATAATGACGATACGCAATCCACACGATACACATACTCGAATACTGTATATAGTTTACGAGGAAAGGAGAAGGTAAAGGAATATGAGATGTAGAATCTTTAAATGCCTTTAATATGCAAAGTGCTTTTTAAAAATATTTGATATTAACATAAGATATAGTTTATTGAATAAAATGTTCCATTTTATGGCTCAAAATAAACACGTACATTTTCATGTTACCTCGTATTTTTGCCTTCTCTCATAATCGAAATAACCACTTTTAAAAAGCTTCTTCACGACGCTTTAAATGTTAGATCAAGCTTCAAAGATATCTTGTATAATACGGTCTCTTGGTTGCAAAGAGAACCATGCGTTTTTATCAAAGATGCTTTTTATGTACAGATTTATGTACAGACAAGTCCTGTACCATGCCTAAAGTCTTGCTTTAAATGTCTGTTCATATGTTCATAGCTTGTACCTCAACCTCAAACTCGTCTGTCTCAATCGCCAACGTAAAAGAGATACCTTATTAATATTATAAAAGTATTCTTTATAAAATATATAAAATATATTTTTCGCAATATATAAAATTAATATATATTATATTTTTAAAATAAAATTTTTTAACATAATCTCAATATAATGATTTGACGTCACGTCAAATTTATTTGAAAAAAAAGAATTACTTTTTATTTATTCCAACGTCACGAATATAGATCGTCATGAGGCAGCTATGTGACTCATATTATTCTTGATTTTAATTCGAAAATCCATTGAAAGCGCGGCGACTGAATGGCAGAATGCGAGACACGAGCGTTGATCAGAAGGGTCTTGTTTTTGCCGATGACACTCTATAGGTTTGGCCCGTGCCCTTCGATGGACTTCACCTGTGGGGACAATTCTT